TTATTTAATGCCAAAATCTAAATATTTTGTAAGCAAATTTTTATTTTATTTTTTGGAGATGATAATGATTTAATGATACAAGTCTTACTAATTAACCCATAGCTGAGGAGGGGAGAAGTTTTGGATTCATACCTTTCCCAAAGGTATTTGCATGTAAGTGAATATAATGAATCCAATGGAAATTGGAACTCAGCTCTGTAATTAACAATTCTATTAACCATTACTCCACCCACACATTCAAGCTTACAGCACCTGGTATTCCCAAATGGGTCACCCATCTAGCTAATGACTAGGCTCAATGTTGCTTAACTTCAGTGATTGTATGAGAACTGGTGTTTCAACATGATATGGCTGTAAGGCCTGGTGAGAATGGCTTCCAGGTGTTATGCCCATGATTTGGTTCCTAAGGCCACATACAGTTTTGAATTCAGAGTTATTCTGCTCCTAGAGTGATTGCCAACTAAGGTTAGACAGCCAAGTCTGTCCTACTATTTGATCCATAGTTGGGGGGTTGAAGAGATATAAGTTAATGTAACAAACTCAAATAGAATTTGAACTTGGCTCTGATTTTTCATTTCAGGTTGCTATCCATTATGCCACTATTAGATATTAATAAATACATAAAAATTTTAAATTTCCTGAACTAAAAGTTGAATCACTTTAAATTTATAAATTATACACGTCTCAGTGTGCATATGAATGTAAATTTGCCAGCTTGAAAAAAATTGGCACTATTCCTTAAAAATAACAAAATAAAATATGAATTTTCATGACATTCCAATAGGAAAGAACTATGATTTTTTTTTTTTTCATAGTTTTACAATGACGTGATAATTTTGAAGAAAGAAAATCTTTTATCCATTTAGCTCACTTTAAAAAAAAATTACATTTGGAATATGCCCAAAATAACATCTGAACACCAAATTACTTTGAAATATAATACAATGAATATTAAAATTTAAGTCAAAGGCTCACAATTAACATGTCCCAGAAATACCTTTAATAAAAAAATTCTTCATTAACTAACACTTAGACCATCTGCACTGAACAGCGTTCTTTAGACATAAAAATTCTAAGAATCCCAGATTGAGAAAAATAACCAATGGAGTACTGAAAAGATCTTGACCTGACCAAAAAATAATTAAGAAAAGATACAAATAAAAAAAAATATAAAAATTGGTTCATTGAATACCTTATTTAGTAAAATACAAAATGCAGTGAAATTTTAAGATGCTCTGATTTTAAACTATTAAGAGATATTTGGGATTTATCAATAATTTGTATCAATTTACACTATTTACATGGTTTGAACTGTTGTCCTCATCTTTATTGTCACATTCACAAGGTTTCAGCTATTGGACACTCCAACCTTCTTCAGGTGATATTTGTAAATAGTTATAATACCTCATCTCAGAAATATAAGATAAATTTTTATCAATTAAATGTATCTGACAAGGATTTTTGTTTGATTTTTTTCAAATTTTGATTTTTCCAAATTTCAAATAAGCTGTTGTATATTGGAAGCAAAAATATAATCAAATTGTTTAGAGTTCAAGTTTGTTCAAGTACTTTCAACTATCTCAGTCATTTTCAAGAACCATGTGGTGTGTGTATGGTAGGTAAGTTTTCATTTGCTACCTCTTATTAGTCTCTAGAAAGCTGAAGTTTTAATATAGTCCATGGTGACATGTAAAATAATCAAGGAAATTGAGACTGTGTCAAAAGAAATGCATTTTATTTTTTATTTTTTTTATATATGCATATTAAATATTTTACACACACTTCAAGATTGTCTCCCGTGGTGAAAGAAATGTTACTTAATGTGTTTATTTTTTTAAAATTTTGTAAAATTTTGCTTCTAGGATTTTGAGTCTTATCTTGCTTTGGGTACTGTATAATATCTTGTTATTTTCCACTAATATGTGTTATGTTTACATTTACTCATTGATATGTGCAAGGATTGCACTGTTTCAACAGTGACAAATCAACCTGTGAGAAAGTGTGGTACATGTGTACCCAATGTAAAAATTTAATTTTTTTTTTTTTTTTTTTTTTTTAAATGTTGACATTGGAGATGTTTGCCAGAACATCACTTCAGAAGATTCTGAAACTGGATTTAAAAAGGTTTTCATACAAGATTCAAATGGTCCAAACTTTACTACCCCAAGATACTCAGCAGCACACCATTCAATTGTAATCTAGCCAGAGATAACTTTGTGAACAATTTAATGTGTGATGAGACACATTTTCATTTAAAAGGGTACATCAACAAACAAAAATGCAGATTTTGGAGTACTGGGAATCCCAGGGAATTGCACCAGCATCGACTGCATCCCCAAAAATGCACTGTTTGGTGCTGTGTTATCGTTGAAAGAGTTATTGGTCTATTTCTTTAAAAATGCAGATGGTCAGCCAGAAAGAATCAATAGTGTCTTGTATAGGACAATGCTTGAAAATTTTTTATGCACAACAGTTGAAAATAATCAGAAGGTATGGTTCCAACAGGATGGAGCTACAACACACACTGCCAAGGTGACAAGTAACCTCCAGCAAAAAATTTTCAGTGAATGAATAATTTCAAAATTGCTAAATTTGTTTGACCTCTGTTCACCTGATTTGACACCAACAGATTTTTTTTTTTTTTTTTTTGAAAGAATTCAAGAACTTAACATTTGAGCCAAAATCTGACGTTTAGTACCTGAAACCTTGAATATGCTCACGGAAAATGCTGTGGAGAGAGCCTGTAATTGTGAACAGGAACATGGTGGTCATTTGAGGGATGTTGTTTTTCACACATAATACTGAAAAAAAAATCCATTGATGATATTTCCAAATAAAATAATGAAAAATTTAAAAAAAAAAAAAAAAAAAAAAGAATGCATTTGTAAAAGTTATTTCTGTTTTATATCAGTCTTTCAGTGGCCACCCTGTATAAGAGTGATGTCTTGTGTTATTTTTTCAAATTTTCATTAATTCTAATTTTATTTGTTAATCAATGACATGGTTAAGGAAGTTATTGTTGACAAGTGTTTTTTCAATGTTGCATAGTATTTTATAGATTAATGTGTGCAAAGAAGAAATTATTTTGGCTCAGTAAATTTTGTTTTTTATAAAGGCTATTTTTTAGTTGAGGTTTTTTTTTTTTTTATAAAGAGAAGTGATAAAATTATGGCTTTTGGCATCAATTAAAATGTCAAGGAAAGGGATTATTAATATTGAGTTTGTATGTAAAGTGCAGGAGAGTTATTCTTAAAGGTTTTTTAGTTTTTTTTTTTTATTCCATCAAGGCTATTTGCTAATATGAAATATAACAAAAGTGTGTGTATATATTATATATATATATTTATTCACACACAGTTTAAAATTTGTTATATTTATAGCAGAACTATGTTCAATATTGGAGAACATTTGTAAAGATCAAGGATATTCAAATGGTCTGAAGATTACTTGAGCTATGAAAATGACGGTCACCCTACAGCGTTAATTTTTAGACCTAGAATTTTATATATATATATATATATGTGTGTGTGTGTGTGTCTGTAAATAATTCTAGGTCTATAATGTGCATGTAAAAAATTCAGATAGAGTATATCTGTAAAAGGAGAATATGTATAGACAAAAAGAAAAGCTATCTTAGCCAACACGTTTCGTTATCCGAGTGTCTTTTATCAAGGTAAATGTAAGGATTTTGTGACAAATATTTATATACAAGACAAAAAGTGTTATTGGTTTTTCAAAATGACCACTCTGATACACAAGATAAATATTTGTTAAAAATAAATTCTTTACATTTGCTTTGTTAAAGTCCCTCAGAGAAGGAAACACGTCAGCTAAGATATGTTTTCCTTTTGTCATATTATATATTTTCACACACACAGGGCATTCTGAAAATAATGTATGTAATTTATTTCCTTGCCAGCTACAACAGATACAGTGAACACAGTACCATAATTGAATAGTGTAAATTCTCAGCTAGAAAACACTATTTTCACTTCAATCACTATAATTGGCAGCTGTGTAGAGCTGGCTTATGTAGATTTCTGTCACCACTGCTGAAACACATTAGCCAACCTAACTGTGCTCACACCCATTGTTTGGTTTCCATAGATGTTAAACCAGTGTTGATGAATACCAATGGGTTGAATTTTTTCCCACACTGAGGATAAAAACTGATGCACCTCTTCTTTATATATATCAGTTGCTATTTTGAAAGGCAAAAGAGAGAAAAATTATCAGTTATTAGGGGAAAGTTTAACTGCCAAAGATATCAGCCCGATATTGTGTGCCAACACAATATCAGGCTGATAAACCAGGGCATTACTTTCAGTGTTACCTTAAAAAAGTTGGTATTTTGTTTCAAAAAAGATCATTAAACAGACAAGTTCAGAATCCCCATTTTCTTGACCTGCTTCAAAATGAAGCATGTGGATTCTTACAATTCCACTTTACTGCAATACTTGCAGAGACATACCAGAATTAGAAAACAGCAATAAAAAGATTTCATTTCAATGCTTTTCATCATTATTTGCTCAAAAATTGCCTGACAACTAATGAGGCAGTATGAAAAGAATCTTGGAAAAATAAAAGATCTTCCATTAACAAATAAATATAGTTTGTCTACAAAAATATATACTCCAATTAAAAAAAAATATATATTTTAGGAGGCAAAAAATCTTAGAATTTGACAGTATATAAGACAAATTTAGAATAAAATGTTAGATTGATTTATTTCAGTCATTTTCTATGATTTATCAACCCCTTGTAGGTTATTTACAGCCAGAAAATATTTTTAAATTGTAAGAATGATTTCTTTTTTTGAGATAATGATTTACAAATCATACCAATTAACCCATAGCTGGAGCATAGAAGAGGTGAAGTCATACCTTTCCTAAGGGTATTTGCATGGAAATAAATGTAACGAACCTGACTGGAATTGGAAATTAGATTTCTGATTTTCAATTCCAAGCTGTTATCCATTACACCACCTGCACATTGACGCTCACAGCATTTGGTCTACCTAAGCGGTTACCCATCTAGGTACTGACCAGGCTCAACCTTGCTTAACTTCAGTAATCATATAAGAACCAGTGTTTCAGCAGGATATAGCCATAAACCTTAGAATATTGGAAAAATAAAATTGAAGGAAATTTTTTATTTCATACGCATACTATAATGATAAAGTAGAAAGCACACGGAGAGCACATACCTCTGCCAACACTTATCACTGAATGAAAATCAGTTCATAGACATGATTCTGGGGAAGTAACTGTATAAATTTCCAGCACCTCTCCAGATATTTCAAACTTTTGTCCTAATATATCTATGGAAAAACAATTTGTAAATCAACCCCAAATTATTCTTGGTTTCATTACCCACTCTTCAGTGAAATGTCACTGAAAAGCTTTGGTGGTTTTACATGGACAAACAATGTGGGAATGTAGAAACACAAGATGGGCAAGACATTCTCTCAATAATTACCTTCCCAGGAAAGAGCAGCATAAAACCCCCTGTAACCGATGCCAGTCAAGATACATAGGAACAAGAAGAAAAGAAAAAAAAAAGTCCTATGCAATCATACATAGTTATACACTTATCAGATGCATTGTGATATTTTGTAAATACTAATAATTACTAAGCATAGTTCACTGTAGAAGAAGGTCAGATGCAGAGACAGTAGAGAGAAAGACTGTGGTTCCCAAATCCTCCAAGTGGGGAGGACTAGTCTACCTTGAAAAATAGTATTCAAAATCCTGACTTTATCAACCACTAATGCTAGTGAGAAATAATCAACTATCTCACCCAATAGTTAGGCCCTAGCTCTTTCCTGAGTATTTATCTAATATAGCAAAAACCTCTGTTGCCTTTTTTCCAGGCAGGGAGATATTATTAGTGACCATGTACCACCAATCTCCAATGAAATCAATTCAAGATATACTCTTTTATACATATTGACCAATGCTAAAGGATACTGAACATGTTCTTGCTATCAAGAATTTCAGTCAGTTTATACTCTATACATAAAAAGACTTCTAAAATCATTGAAAGAACTAAATGTAAAACTGATAAATAAATCTGAGTCTTTTTTTCCTAAGAGATTCATTTTCAATAACCCTAAAAAATAATTTTATGATGAAGTATTTTACATGAGCTGAATAAAACCTACAAGAAAAAAAAAGTCCTTTATTAATTGGGTGCAATTTATAAAATAGAGTAACAACTCCTCTGGGAGATTTACCTAACACAAGATTGTTTTAAGGTGTCAAATAAAAAGATATCAAAGATAATATTTTTACATAAAACCTCTACATATGATTGCTGGCATATTTCTTGATCACAATGAATCATGAGAAAATTTCATATTACAACCTTCCAAAATTGTTATCAGTTTCTTTTCCAATCCTAACCATGGTTATAGAATTACTCAAAGATGAAACATCAATGAAATTTGCAAATTTATTCAAGCATTAAAACATTCCTTAAGTTTACTTGTAGATTTGATAGAATTTTTGGTTGTCATTGCAATGAGAGAACTCCAAGTTAAAAATACTTAAGTCCTAACAAACTTGTATTGCAAAATATATTATCCAATTATTGAAATTGTTTTACATAAATCTTCAACTGAATATATAAAATTCAAATTGAAGAATAGATTAGATTAAACTTTGTACAAAAACTTCAAATATTTCAAACTTCAAAGAAATCTGAATGCTGAAAAACTTATGTGTCAATATAAACAGAACAGCCAATCAGATTATTTGAGATTTGATTGGCTCTGCATTTGGCTCAAATCTGATTGGAATACAAAAATTAAAGGAAGGAAAAAATAAATAAATAAATAAATAAAAATAAATTAAATTCATAAAGTTTCCTACCTGCTTGTATTTGTTCTTATTGGAAATAGATTTAAACTCACAAGACAAATATTTACACTATTAAAAGAAAAAAAAATGTTAACTTCTCAAATTAAGTACTTATTTATATTTTCAGATATCCTCAAGGATAATTTGGGAGATGATGTAATATGCAATAAAAATATAGCCTGCATGGTTTCTCAAACTTCCTCTAATATGGAATATTAGTCAACATTATTTGGATGTTCAAATCTCTTTGTATATTTGCTGTTATTATCACAATGTTTTGACCAATCCCTTCCCAAAGCTCTTACCAGGATAAATCTATGAGAAAAAGGAAAAACTAGCTTTTTCTTGTGGATTACATCTGATGAGGACTGGAGAATAGATCAACAAAAACATTGTGATATAACACCAGCAAATAATAAGAAAGGGAGAAAATTCAGTGCTCAACATTGGAATATGTTAACAACTATTCCCGTGATTAGAAACATTAACATTGAACAATTTATATTTACAATATAAAATTAATAAATGTTTATTTCATACCCCAAATGGTTGACCTTGATGAAGCTTTAAATCCCGACACAAATTACATTATTGGGTTAGTTTATAACAAGTGAATATCAATGTGTATCATTGTAACTAATAAGTTGAAGCAAATTGTCTTGTGACGCACAGTACTCAAAATGTATAACTTAGTCTCATCAGTTGAATGAGTAGAGAAAAGTTCTGTTTTGACCAGCTTCCCAAAAACTCGTATTCTGATGTTTGGACATTGAAATACTGATTTAGGAAGTGGGCCAGGCAAGGAACTTTAGGTACTTCTAATCATTTTCAATACATTTTCTTAAAAAAAAAAAAAAAAAAAAAAAACAATTTTCGTAAGCATTTTCTTTTACATATGGCTTAGTTGGTAGGACATAGCAGATAGTTGCAGCTACATATATCTCACTGGGACTAAATCAGGGGTGAGTGTGAAAGAATTGATGGATTTGTTTTTTATGATTTATCAACCCTTTGTGGGTTATTTAAAGCTGAAATATTTTGAATTGTAAGAATAATTCTTTCTTTTCTTCTTTTTTTTTCGTTAAGTGAATGTTGCATTAAAACATTTTTGAGAATAAAAACATTTTTCCAGATACAAGTCCTACTATTTAACTCATAGTGGGAGGGAGGAGATGAGGTCATAATTTTCCTAAGTCTATCTACATGTAAATGAATGGGTGTAAAAGCTAAGAGACTTAGCAGGAATAAATATATGCCAAAATATTAGCCAATATATTTAGAGAAGACATTTTAATATTTTCAGATTCTAACAAGTATAAATTTTCAAGTTAAAATGTATGAATTGAATTTCAGAAGTTCAAGAATATTCTCAGAAAAACAGTTTCCAGAAATAATTTTTCAATCACAGGACAAGGAGGTCAAAATTGGAAGCATTTTCTACCTTATGCTCTAAAAGTGATTTTGGAGACAGAGAATTCTGTCGGGATAAACAAATTTGGATCAAGTGTCAAAATTTTAGAAATTTGCACAATTAGATATACAGAGAGGATTAAAAGTGCAAAGATGTTTTTGTGTGTGTTTTTTAATGTGCATATCATTAGTGTATTGCAAATTTTTCAAGTACAAAAATACACTGATACTAAAAATTGTAGTTCCAATTACAGACAAGAAAAACCAATCTTAAAAAAAAATATATATATGAAAACACACACATATATATATATATATATATATATATATATATATATATATATATATATATATATATATATATATATATGTGTGTGTGTGTCACAATCATTTTATGATATAGCAGGGAATATGAGAGAAGGGTAAAGTATATATCATCATCAAATGGTCCAAGTAAAAGCATTATTTACATTATTTGGACTGTTGTTCTCATCTTGATTGCCACATTCATGACATTTCAGCCATTGTATGCTCTGGCCATCTTCAGGTGATTGGAATTTCAAACTGAAATCTTTATTTCGTCCACTGGGGGTTGATTGTTCTAGTTCCACATGCCATGCCTCTTCCCGGATGTCTCAGTTCTCTCCCTTTAACTCAACTCTCCAAGTTTTTGTTCACCACTGCAGTAGCCAGTTATTGGACTCACAACTCTTTGGGTCAAGGCACTGGATCCAATCAACACTTATCCACTGGGCTATGTGTCCAGAAGGACACACAAACTTTAAGAGTTGAGTTAAAGTGAGACAACTGAGACACCTGGAAGAGGCATGGCACATGGAACTAGAACAATCTACCCCAGTGGACGAAATAAAAGGTTCAGTTCGAAATTCCAATCACCTGAAGAAGCCTGAAGCATACAACCTCCAAAATGTCATGAATATGGCCATGAAGATGAGGACAACAGTTTGAACAATGTAAATAGTTTAAATAATTACAATACCTCATCTCACAAGTATAGACAAAACTATTATTATAACAGTGAACAGAAACATCCCGTTTCACTCTCATGGCCAAAATGACTAGTGAAGTCAATTATACTAACCAAATCAAAAGTGGGTTATACGCCCACTTCCAGAAAAGAATGTGAGATAATTAAAGTTTGTTATTCTAAGTTGCCTGCCACTTTGATTAAATGTCTTTTTTTCCTTTACAATCTCAGGAATGCTTTAAATCTTTTAGAACTTTAAGGCATAAATTAAGCAGACTAAGCCACTAATTTCTTATCTGTTGATTAAGTCAGGGAAGTTGAAACTTATCAACCATTTTCTTATCTTCCTGCTTACTGTTAACAAAAAAAAACAAACAAAAAAAATATTAAATTTCAGGTTAAGTGTAAAAGTGTTTTTAAAATAATTGCTGTCAGGTTCAATACAAAATGTTGAGGAGTAGTTAATTTAATGCACAAAAATGAATAAATAAAATGCAAACAGCATATTTAGTTAGATCCCCAACCCTGTCAAAAAAAAAAAAAAAAAAAAAAAAAGAAAGAGTAAGTTTGCTAAAATTCATTTTTGTAAGCAAAATATTTGACAAAATATTAAGGAAGAAAGTACACAACTACAGTTTGTTTTTATCACTAAAACAAAAAAAAAAAAAAAAGATTCTGCCAATTATTTATGTTCTCATTAAGTAACAGAAAATGTTTTTAAAGCCATAATTTACTTTTTTAAATAAAGCAAAATTGAAAATGCTCAACAGGCAATCTCAGAATATAACATTCGTTACATCATCTAAAAACTGTATCTTCAATCACTGTCAAAGTCAATATTTCTGTTTCAA